TTTTATTCTAATAATCCATTTCAATAACACATTCTTTTGAATAAAATAATTTTATACATATAACATTTTCTCAATTTCTGAAAGCCACACTTTTCCTTAAAAAAAAAATTTCTACTTTTTTTTTACACCAAACAGAGTCTTAATTATTTTTTTGAAGCCAATTAACTCGTAAAACCATAGCGGATGAAATTTGGGGCAAACCCAACTTGGATCGTTAAATGGGCTCAATTAAATTAGGAGTTGTTTGAGTCACATTTTTTCAAGAAAATACATTTTTAAATAGTGATTTGATATCATTTTAACCATACATTATTCAATAAAATAATTTTACACGTAAATCTAAAACTTTTTTTTATTTTTTAACAACACATTTTTCATTAATACATTATTCAAAAATGCATTCAAAGGAAAATAACTCAAACAAGGGTTTACTTATCCTTTTCCCTCTCCAAACGAAGCTTCCTATCCTACAACTAGTGGTGGCAATGCTCGGCTCGACTCATTGAATTTGGACGAGCTCGGCTCAGCCCATGAGCTCGTGGGCTCGTCCATTTTTTTAAAGAAAAAACACAAATAAATGAAATAATGTAATGAAAATACTTTTAAAAAAAACTAAAAAGTGTTAAAAAATACAAATAATCTAAAGAAGACACGTTTTTATTTTTTTATTTATATCATATTGTAATATTTTTTATAAAGTATAAAATATTTATATAATGAAGACGAATTATTTTTTGAAATGCATTTACAAAAAATATTTTTTTTGATTTCTTTTTAAAGTAGATAAAATATAAATCCTCCTCCTTTATCCAGGCTTGGGACTGGCTACATCAATTTTAAGTATGTGGAGTTAAAAATTGTACACGAACAACATGTTGTAACGTGTATAATTTTTAAAAAAATTAAATTTAACTATTGAAAAATAAAGAAATTTTGATTAATATAATTAAATTAAATATCACTTACCTGACGACATGTTATTTGAACATATTTATCTTGTAGTAAAAAATGAGGTTTCTGTCAATCCTTCACGCACATTAACTCTTCCAAAATATTTTCTTTCAGTCGGCTCCTGATATCGGTCAAAACCTTTTTACCTGCACTAAAAGTAGATTTCGAAACAACAGTGCTAACCAGAGATGTCAGCAGATCTTTCGCAATTGCAGAAACAATTGGCCAACTTCTTTCATACTTTCGCCAAAATTCAATTGCTTCTTCTGAACTTTTTTTAATTGTTCTCTCTGTTGGCATGTTATGATTGAAGTAATCAATTAATTCGATGGGCATCGCATTTTGAGTTTCGACCGATGTTTGATGAGATGCAAATGTAGACGACATAGCACTAGATGAACACATTGCAGTTGCATCATATCTAAATGTATTAATGCCTTGAAATAAATTCATTATTTCGGCATCATCTTCTTCAATTTCAACAGAAGGAGTAGGTGCAGAGCGTACTCGACTAACATTCGCACCCATTTTTTCGCATATAAATCATACATTCCATATAATGTTTGCTTTAAATTTTTATAGGTGATAGGTGTATCAAGTATTAAAACTTTATTGATTTGATCAATTACGTATTTAGTTTCCGAAATATTATATCGGGGGTCCATTGCGCTTGCTAAAGGAAATAACATAGGCAGTTCTTCTCAATATTTTTTAAACTTTAATTCCATAACAATTATAATTTCACTAAAAGTAGGATCATTTTTATATTTATGGAATGTTCTTACAATTATATAAAGACGTTCAAACACCATACAACTTGTGGGATAATAAACGCTGGATAAAATCTTTGTGATCTCATAAAAAGAGGTCAAAAATCGTTTAACTTTTAAAACTAAAATCCAATCGGATTCATTTAACATATCATTGTCATCACTTTTAACGTGTCTATTATTATAAAAGTCAGTTATTAAATTTTCGAAACCTTTACATGACTTTAATAGTAAGTAAGTAGAGTTTCATCTATGGCCTACGTCGCTAACAAATATTTTAGCAGTCGTCACCCCTAATTCGGCACAAAAATCTTCAAATACTTGTTTTCTACTAGGAGAGATCGTAATATGTATTAATACATTCCTAATCTTTTGAAATTCATCATTTATATGTTTTAAATCATTTTACACAATTAAATTCAAGATATGACACACACATTGAATATAAAACAAATACCCACCAAAATCAGGTTGAAATGTTCTACACAATTTATCGACGACTATCTTATTAACACTAACATTATCAAAAGTAAAAGATCGAATTTTAGTCTCGCAATTATATTCTCTAACAATACTGATAATAGCATTATATATATTATTAGCATTGTGAAAAAACTCAATAATTTTAAAAGCAATAATTTTCTTATGCATACACCAAAGTGAGTCTATATAGTGTGCGGTTGCAGATATATATGTTCTTTTATTAACCCCTTCTCATATATCAGAAGTTAAAGATATAACACCCCCATATTGTTGCAAATTCATAATTAATTGTTGTTTTGAATTATTAAAATATTGTATTGTATCGGCATGAAGAGTGTTTCAACTTACCCCAACGTACCTCGGTTGCAGATATTTTTTCACAAACGAGACGAGTGTTGGTTGTCTGCAATAGCCAGAGGCAACTCAGTGGCGGCAACAAATTTCACCATTCCGGTTCGAGTATTGTCCTCCGAATACACCCACTTGGATAGGGGTGAAGTTGTAGAACCGGCACCTGGATTGCCAAATTGTAATTGTGTTTGACCAATTGAAAAAAGTTCATGCTGGCCGCATATGCTTTATAGTGGCGGTTGAGATGGGTGGTACCAATTCCTTTTTGCCATGCCAATTTTTGTTGGCAATATTTACATACTGCTTTAGATTCTGCAAGGCCATCGACGACTTTTCTCATTGAAATCAATTTAAAGTGATCCCAACATTTTACTTTTTTTTGCCCTTTCGCTTTCCCCTCGCATCTGGGATGTTTAATTTGGCATCTTCGTCCTCATGTTCCACTTCGGGAACGTTAATATTATTCAAATCAATTGGATTGTGGCTTCCCTGACCGTGAATGTGAACATCTTCAGGTATGAGTATTTCATTTAGACCAGCAAATTCATTTGAAAATTAACTTTGCGACGTCCTGGGCGATTCACCATGATGTGGCCCACATCCCGTATCGAATAAGCTTTCAACAAATGAGCATTGGTTCATTTGTTTGATTGTTTATGATAAAATTCAAATATAATAACTAGAAAAATATAAATGTAGTGAGATTGTGAGAATTGGATGAATTGAAACTGTAACTAATAAACTGTAAAAATTGAATTGATATTGTATATTTTGCAGCACAAGAGAGTAAAAACTCGATAATTGATATAATAAAAGAGAGTCGAGAGAGTTGGAGTAGATTGAGTAATTAATATGAAAAAAAAGGGCATTTATAGTAGGGGGGGGGGGGGAATTTCGGGG